GAGGAAGACGAAGGATGCTAGGGCTGGTGAGTGAATATGATATTCGTGAACTCTTGATCTAAGTTGCTCACCAAATATCGAGCTCAGAGACGTTTCAAGGATAGATTCAAATACTAGGGAACTATAATTGGTCGACGGACATACGGTCGCCGAAAGAGGGCGGAGAGGACTAGGCACCAAGAAGGGCAAGTACATGCAGTTACCGTTGAATCGGAGAGCACTGCTATTTGGATCTGGCACTTTAAACTACCTGTCGAATCGTAGCAAAATTGAGTGTCTTATTCGTCGAATCGCCCACTTGTTGTTCATTTATTCCTCTCACTTACCCAGCGCTCTTCAGAACTGAATGAGTGTGACTAGTATTCGTTGCTGGATGTGTAACCCGATTTCCTTTGACAGCACTCTGACATTCCTTTTTGAGGGTGGGGTGGGTACTAGTAAGGTTAGGCCAGAAGGGATTTATCGCACTCTGGGAGCAGGAGTCAATGTACTCAGAGGCTCGGAGGCACCTGGGGACTCGAACTCCACTTTCGCTGCATAATTACCCTCTATTTCGAATACATTTATATTTTAGCCTCGTGTAATTCCGAAGTGAAACACACGGTACTTTCAGTTTTGCATATTGTAAAAGTGACGGCAGGTTCACGACTATCTGTCCTTTGATCACCGCGGCGACCACATGTGCTCAATCATCTCTCCACACAGTTCAATATACGGAGACTTTCCATGAGACAACACTATCTGTGTAATATTGTTGTAATCAGTGTGGATGAATTCTTACTCAGAAGTCAACCACTCACCTGACGTTCACGTCTGTTCATGAGAAGCTTAGCCCATTTCGTAGATATACATTCATACATTATCCTAGCGGAAATGTCATTGGAGAATCCAATGACTCGAATGCTATCTCGCTGATGGTATGCTATTGCATAGTCTGCTTGCAGTAAGGGCATCGCGAATTCTGTTCGGTCATCCTCCATAAGAGATTCCTGGCATTCGGAAATATAACGGTGTGATCCAAAGGAAAACAATGTCTGCAAAATAATATAAAGGGAGCTAGGCCGTAGGTTCAGGGAATAACAAATACCTTGGAGGTTTTCATATCAATAAGTATCTTTGCCCATTTCTATGAGAGAGCCTCATAGAGGGCCCAAGCATCCTCAACCTTCCGGAAGCCTACCTTTTGAACATGGTTGCAATGAAAAGCAACAATGTACTGAGCTTCATGAGGAGGGACAGTATAATCCAATGGAGGCAACCTCTTAATTTCCTGTAAGCATTGTTGCACATAGCTTTCCAATCCATGGGAAGCTAAAGGCTGTCATGTAGCATGTAAATCTCTTCCGATGACTTTGCGCGTAGCATTCTTGGTTGTACTTACACGAGGATATCTTCTGTAAGTCAATACCTTGGCCCAATTCTTGGAGACCCCATTGTATACAACTTGTGCAGCCTCTCTGTCTCCGAAGGCCATTACATTGACAGAGTCATGTTGGTGGAGGGCGACAAGATATGGAGAGTTATGCAAGGATGCTTCCTTGGCATTCATTAATGCAGGATGTGACCTGAAAAGATCGTGAATTTCAGTCATTTGCTGAGAAATTTCTCCGGCTGGCACAGAATTCAAATTCAAGGTCAAATTATGGTTCAATTTAGCATAATTATAGTACTACCTTTATCAAGCACAGCACTCGCAATAACTTGAGTCTTCATCCCTTGCAAGTGTGATTCTGTAATAGTGTCATTCATTTCATGAATCACAAGATTACGTAGTTTTTGCAGAGCGTCGGGCATTCCAGGACCCTTTACAAGTGTCTGACTGTAGATTCCTGAAAACAAGTGCACAAGCTTGGTGAGACCACAACTGTAAGGAATGAACATAAAGCCTATTCACTGAGATACCCAGTCCAGGGGTGTTTAGTATCTGACATGAACTTGATAGCACGAGAGAAAATGTCCAGCATGAGAACGAAAACTTTGACAACAATTGCCTGGTAGGCTGGACTCATAGCAGAGGACATCTTTAGCCTTGCACCGAGTCTCTCAAAAAAGAGATGTAGCTCTTCAAAAAGTTCAGTCAGTGCATCTAACCATGCACTAACTCCCTTTGTAGCCTGATATCTCGAATGTGAATTGTCCACCCTCGATATGAAATTTCATGTACCATTAATAAAAATCCAAAAACCACAAAGATGGTTTTTCCACCCGGTATCGCCGGCTATGGAATGATATTTGAGTAATTGGGTGAATAGGATTGAAAAAATAAAGTACACCGTACAGCATATGATATGGCTTCTCCAAGTGAATTGTTAAGTAAAAGTACCACTTCTACTGCCGGTTTCAGGAAGCGAGAGCGCAGCTTCCCCCAGGTTGTTCTTGCAGACCGGAACTCAGCGAGCTCTTCTAATCTTTGATCGAGCACATCGCAGACTTCTTCGGCACTACGACAATGCTGGAAGGATTTCACAAGGGAATCCCAATGCGAGGTTTTGATGTTTGTATCCTGTTGGAATTTGCGCAGCGCGTTGGTCCACAGCTGGCTGAAGTCGTCACTCGACATCTTCTCGAGAGGGATGGTGGAAGCAAAAGGATGAGAGACGTTGTGAACAACACGCGCAACACCTCCGAACAAGTCGGAATTAATTCTGCCACGGTGCCACGGCCATGATTCATCCCACGGTGATCGCAACGAGTTGCAAGAGCCTTTTATCTTCATCGTTAATCGTCACAATAGGGATTATCGCCAGTAACACAGAAAAACCATATATACACGTCAGACTTTCACGGAATCGTATTTACTGGGTATCAAATTCTGCTCATGTATGCTTGACAGTAATAGTATCCGGCGTCGCAACACTGACACTGGTCAAAACAGTACCATTCTGCTGAATGGTGAATATCGTTCCAGTGGCGCTGGGATCTACGAGTGCCCCGGTATTCGTGAAAGCACCGGTAATAAACGTCACAGGGGTAAAGTTGGAAAATGGCACCAGTATTCCGTCAGCAGCGAAATCCTCGACAATGGGGTTGTGGACAAAAGGTGAAAATATAGTATTGAAGGAATCTCATGAGCGGTCATGGTGACAAAAGAATTTAGAAAACCCCCCACCTGAGCATTGGGAGCAGAAAGCTCAATCGAACTGACATTGCCTCTACTCTCGTTCGTGACACCCGCAACGCCAGTCGTCGAGTTGATCATCACAACCGAAGCGATAACGACATCTCCGGCATTCACGACCATTCCGTCAAAGACGACAGAAGGGTTGGGGAACCACTCGTACCATGCACTGTAAGACGCAACTCCGCTCGCGCTGACCGAAATATCGACACCCGTCTGCAGGATAGTCGCCCCCGTCGTCGCGCCATCAATCCCAACCCAGATGGACGCAGACCCGGCGGCTCCCTTGGCAGTTTGGGATTGAGTGGGCACAGTAAATTGGGCATAGACGGTTTGGAAGTTTTGGCCAGCGGGAAGGGTTTCGATGACGACTCCCGCCCAGTTCGTGGTGACTACTGCGTGTGTGATATTTCCGCCTTCAGAGACGACAGGAACATCACTGACAATTGCAGAACCGGACCTGCCAGCAACGTTGCGAGCAGTGAATGGTTCACTCAGGCTCGGGGGACGGGCGTATGCGTCACACAGAAGGCTGCTAGCTAAGAAGAGAATTAACAGCTCCATACTGGCAAAGACAGAGGAAAGATTGTCGAGTCGTTGGAGGATATTTCGTTGTATTTGAGTGAATTTGGGTCTTCATATTTATCATCAGCCCAGTCCCTCTTATCGATCATCGAAAGCACATATACCTAGCCTTGTATTATATCCAAATACTAGGAAGACGATCTGTCAAAGTTAAATATGCTAAATATTGCTGAACGGCCTTTCACCATCACGATAGGTGACATGACACAACAGGTTGACTGATACAAGATTAAGTAGCGATTGCGTTCGAATACAAGACCATCAGCGCTCACTTTGCCATTCAGGAACACCTTCCGAGCCTTAGGAGTACCTCATCCTCTCACCAAGAAATCCAGTTACCACTCTTGTATTGCATACTTGTGAACAAGGCCATGACACACTCAAGGAAGTGCATGACTTACGATACTGGCCCAGAACGTGGATAGCTGGTAAATACAAGAATCAGATGCTTACCACGCCAGCGCCCCAATTTCAGGACAATCGCTGATTCCAGCCGTCTCCTATCTATCATCGAGAAATCATCGAATTTAAAGGCGTACTCGTAAGTATATAGTTTTGAAGACCGGTCTGTTCGCGTCGTTTCAACTCTATGCATAGATATAGCGCAGTGAACGAAATCTCTTGACCTTTGTTTTCAAGTGGCTAGCCCACCATTGCGGCTGGACAGGGGAAGAAAAAAACCGCAGAGACTCACTTCAATCGAGTCAGTTCGCATCAAACATTCACCTCGCGTCACGTCTCTGAGAACCAGTCAAAAGAGTTCGAACACAGCATGTATCAAAAAGAATCTTGCCACTTACGAAAATTATACTAGTGATGGTCCATGTCTATTCATCATCAAGGACATTCACTCTTAATCCATCCCCTCTTCTTCATCGTCGACTAGAAAAGAAGAACCTCATGATATGACTTGAACATGAAACCTACCTTCTAAAACAACGCGAGCTCTATCGCAGGAGCAGGGAAGCGACTCTCAACACATTGAAAGAGATGAAGTTGTATATAGGATTGATAAGCCAAAAAAAAAATAGTCAGAGGAAACCAATAACGACTCACGATGATGCTCAGCGCACCCAAAATACAACACACCCTGTATACCCTCGAACAAAGTGTGGACGCCGGCTTCTGCATCGGGTCCTAGAAAGAAACCCTTAGAGCGCCACCATATGCATTAGGCATCCCTCGCATCGTACATGTAAGCGCAGAAGTCCATGTCAGGTCAAATGGGTTTGTATAGAAAAAGAAAAAGAGTCACATAAGAGAAGCATGCATTCCGAAGTGAGGAACAAAATCACATCTCCCTGGCTGGGAGTCGAACCCAGCTTTCGCGCGGATAAGAGTACAGGAGAGTATGACAGGCGCGTGTACTAACCGATATACTACCAGGGACCTGTTAAACAAAAACTTAACAGACTATCTACTCGTAATATTCAGTCCGTTACTGTGATCCATTCAAATGGAAAATGGAAGGAAAGCGGAGCTGAAGGACAGGTCTCAAAGGCTGTTGTACTGGGCTCGAAACCGACTGCTTGGCCTGCCACCGTGTACGACATATTTTGCAGACTAAACGGCGATGGATGGGAAGGAGTAACTACTAATCATGGGTGATTCCGTGAACGGAGAAGGTCGCATGAGGAGAGTTGAATTCTTTGCGGCAGGAACGACAGAGTCAACCAGGGATGAATCAGTAGGTAAATAAACTCAACATGCTCTATCTCGTAGCGTCAGCGTCATATTCTATACCATTCAATGTAAGGACGCACCTAGGTACAAGTCTAAACGCATATCCTTTTTACGTTAAACTACCTCAAATCTTGACTAGCCCTTCTTCGCCTTTTTGCTCTCGACAAACAGAACGTGTCTTTTCACTGGAAGATTCACAAATGACAGAAATTCAGACCGATTCAAAAACTGAAAGCCCGCTACACACCGACTGGATCATATTTCACTCGAGAAAGCGGTAGCCCTTGCCTCACGCGCTGTGTAGTGTAGAAAAAGCCACTTTGGGCCGTTGATATTAGGCGTACGATCATCGTTCTAAGGGCTTCGGCTCAGTATACAACCAACCCTCCTGAAATAAACCGTTACCTGGATTTGGCCTTCGCCATTGCATCGACAATATGGACGTTGGAAGGGCGAAACCGTGAGAAAAAGAAATCGGGAAATTTCGGGCGCTTAGCGTTTATCTTATCGCCCGGACGCCGAACCTCCGGCTGCGTGGAGGTTCGGGGTAGCTGCGGTCTCTTTCCTTCCGCCCACCATCTTGCTGGTCAAGGGGGTATCGTATTCTGTTCGAGGCAGACATCAAGGCAACTTCTGAACCTTCTATTGCCTAAATTTACCAAGAAAATTCGCCGCCTCATTTCCGAAATGATATCTGAATTCACCTCTGGTCGAGTCCAAAGGACACGGCCTACTACCTCGTTCACCTTGTATCTTCTCTGCCTTTCTCTTATATTCCTCGGAAGTTCCTTTATGAATATGTGTACCCCGAAATTGGAACTCGTAAGTGGCCGTCAGATGATGATCAAACCAGCTCATCTTTCACAATCTTCAGCAAAATTTCGGTATCAAGTTGATGCCCAGTTTTGTCTCTCCCACTGTAAGCTACAGTATTGAGGAAGAGATATGTATGATAAACTGATATTCATGTTTTTGTTGACCTCATCTACTAGATACCCAGTATGGGAACAAACGACTCTCTCAAACAGATCGTTTTGCCCTCTTCTGTAAACGGTCTAAACACCTCACAAACATTCCTCATCCGAATGACCGACCTCGACTCTCCCAATCGAATGATCGGTGCAGACTCATTCGTGTATCCAGTCATTGAGCCTTCATATCCCCCGGTAAATTCCAACTAGCTATCTTTTGCTGCCAACACTTGCCCATTTTATACACAGATGGTCGCAAAGAAGCTGCGCCTAGAAGCCTTCCTTTCCGCCCAAGACATGTCAAACTACTTTGAAAGCGAAGTCTCTCATCTTCAAACGGTAAGACACATCCCTCTTACTCGCACTTCCTCCGATCTCTCACTTGTAAGCTCCCCTACACCTAACCCCATCCAGGTCGAGTCCGGTTCACTCTACATCACCTCTGGCCAAGAACAAGTCACAGGCGACCTCTGGATCATCATGAAAAAAGTAAACGGCAGTCCCCTAACCAAAATCAATCCAACGGAATACGAACAAATCCTCTCCGGCCCAAAACTCGCTTGCGAATCGTTCTTCAACGCAAGGTACTCCGATCTAGTACGAGCCGTTTTGGATTTGGAAAAGAGCAGTGGGTTGGTTCATCGGGATCCTAGCGACAGTAAGGGATAAGTGACTTTTTATTTGACAATGTTGCCAACCCGTTCTTCTTACATCAAGGTAACACATTGTGGATCTCGTTAACTGAGTTTTCCGGCTTGATTGATTTCGGTGCTATGGTCTTGTTTGGTAGTGAGGATTGGTTCAGGGTACGTCCTTTCTTACGTTCTGTACCTTAGCCTCCCCCCTTCTCTCGAGCTCTTGTGTGATTGATAAACCCGTCTGTGCCTTGTATTGCAGGTTCTAGAAGAAGAATTCGTCGACGGTCAACCGGTACCCAAAGATATATCATTGGAAGACTGGTTAATGGTCGTAGCCAGGAGAAACTGGCCACTGAAGAGCTGTGTCGGGAATTAGCTAGATTCCCAGTACGCATTTTGTCTATAAGCTCATAACGTTTGTATCATTTCATCTTGGGCGTAGCCCCAAGGGTAAGGTCAGAGATCGGCGAGTTCAAGAATATACAGGTTTTACCTTGGGTCTGCTAATCACCCTTCTCATCCTGATAAGTCACCCATGGTCAGTGCTCCTTTCCACGGGTACAGTCGTGCTTGTGATTCGCTTTGTTGTTCCCTTCTCGACTTCGATCTTTATGCAGCCAAATTTCTGGAATCTATGACGCCCCTCATCTTCGAGGTTCACCGTCGCAAACCTTTCGTACTTTTTTTTTTTGATTCTAATAAATGAACCATGTTCTCAGCAATACGTAAATCTCGTATGCTTGTTCACCGCTCAACCTATCAATTTTTGGGGACTCCGCAGCTGCCGTTTCAAGGCAGCTCCCGTGTGTAGCGATAATTTTCTTTGTGAATTTATGGCCTGTTGATAGCTGCGTTGCCTTCAGGGGTGTATATTTGGTATCGCAAGTTATGGCATCCATTTCGTCAATATCCTCCTTTGACATTTCATTTCCCTTCGTCAGGTTCCGTTTCAGCTGGAGCCAGCAAGTCCACAGCTGCGGATATTAAGCAGCCGATATTGAGCGGTGAGCCAAGATGGCTGCTGGATGTTAGCGTTGCGCTGGCTAGAATTAAATTACATGGATAAGATCCCGCTTGAGAATCTTGTTATCAAAGCCTTGGTACATTGATTATGATTCATCAATGTTAATATTTGAACGCCATACTGTGATCATGAAATACTCGATCGAGGTTTCACTATTTTAGGAATGTGTGGGTGACATGCTAGTGTAAGTAATTTCACTATAGTTTCTTAGATTATTAACCCATATATCTGTTTGTTCATGGCACCTTGATAGGACTAAATCTGGAACTTATTTAAGAACTTCTCTTCTTGCTTGCCTCCTCATCTTATTTCTGGCTTTGACTTGGAATACTTTTAGCCATGATGCACTCCCACTTATATATAATCAGATAACTGTCGTTGAGATAGTACCAGAGATACAGGGAGAACTTGAAGCAACAGGCAGAATGGCAGACAATAAAGTTTCGTTAGTGTTTTATATGGGTGGTTGGATTGGAACAGTTTCTGTGAGTCTGTTGTATTCATCCCTTGTGCAGTGTATCAAGCATTTTATTCAGGTGATTTTAAGTGATTTGATTGTGATCTGGAGAGCATGGACTTTTTTTCAACAGGAAATGCTTTAGAGAGTTATACTTGTGCTTTTCATGATTGTGAATGTTGGTGCCTAAGATAACTGAAGTCCATTGAATCCTGTGGATAATTTCTTTTAGGAATCAATGTGGCAGATTGCATTCTGGATAATATTGAGATCAAGGTGGCTGAATCCGAGTCCAGAACAATCCTGGATTGGCTGTCACTTGTGGTCTCATTTGCAGTTAACATGCTTGCAGCAAGCATGATTGCATGGAAGGCATGGTAAGTGTTATAAATTCTTGGCTACACTTATCCAAATCTAATTCTTACTATCCACCATGTGCAGGAATCATTATTGTCTCATGAAAGAAGCTGGATCCTATAGAAGAACTATTGTTCAAAATGTTCTTCTCCTGCTAATTGAGTCTGGTGCAATATATTGCACCATACAACTTCCATCAGGAAAATTACCTTTTGCCCAGGCTGCCCAGAGGTCTCTGGAGACACCCCCAAATTCCTAGGGATCCCAGAAATCTCTCAGATCTCTCCTAGAGTCTTTTGGAGCTTTGAGATTGCTCTGGGATCTTTCAGGGTCCCTGGGGATCCCTAGGAATTAGGGGGTGTCTCCAGAGATCTTTGGGAAGCCTGGGCCC